TATTTCTTATAGCCTCATCTCAGCTGCTAAAAACCAAGATAGTCACTGATCTTGTAGTTTGTTAGTTTGTTGTTGTGATTTATTCCGTAAGTGATATTACTGAACTGAGTGATTCTATTAAAATTGCCTTTAATAATATGAATTATATAATATTGTGTAATAAAATGCTAAAAACACATAGAAAAATTATATCATATACAGAAGCAGACTTTTAGCAGGCAAATTATTTTTAAAACAAACACTAAAGAGATTTATGAAATTTTATTTAATAAACAGACAAATTTCAATTTTCCCTCTTCTTTAATAAAAGGTAACGATCGGTTTTATGCTTTCATGATGATACCTCCTTGCCACTCGCTCTACAATGGATAGTGTTTTAAAAAAATAAATAAGAAGATAACCACTCTTAGAAAGAAAGCTATAATAGGCAAAAGAACTTGTGAAAATAATTGTTTGAAATTGTTGCCAAGATCTTTGTTACTGAAAATTATAAAAATTCATTGTTTATGAAAAAGCTCGTCTAACCATTAGGAAACCTATTAAACAGAATTATCTTAATCTCTAAAAATTTTCAAAATAAGGAAAGTCTGTGTACTTTTAAAGAAGAGTTATATACAAATACAAAATCAAGGAAGCTGATTAACATTAGAGGAGACAGAAATGTATTAGCTCGATTACAAAATATATATTTGAATGGTACAGTAGAAAAATTTCCACTTCTTTTAATGTGGATTAGCATGTCATTGTAAATGTTAATTTGACACTATAGTAATCCTACTAACTATGTAACAGGAAAAATTAAACTTGGAATAAGACTTTCAGGTCATTATCATAAAGAATAAAACCAGTATTTGCAAATATAATAAAGTGTATTTAACCAAATTGAATAATATTCTGTACCAATAATAAATAAAATTGATTTATGTTATACAGTTATATTATAAAATACATTGCTTCTTTTGCATAATTTTATCGTCTTAATTTTCATTTTTCTATTAAAATATGCAAAATAGTTTGTACTATACAGAAAAACCAAACCCATTGCCATTGAGTTGATTCCAACTCATGGTGACCCTATAGAGCCGAGTAGAACTGCCCCATAGGGTTTCCAAGGACCAGCTGGTGGATTCAAACTGCTGACCTTTTGGTTAGCAGCCAAGTTCTTAACCACTACTCCACTAGGGCTCCAGTTTATACTATAGTAAATATATAATTTATAAACAAAAAATATACATATCTGCAAAAATAAATCTGCATATCTCTGAAAGTATACCTTTTTTTTTAACTGATATGGTAAACACTAATGGAAGACTTCTATTATAGAAATGAAAGCAAGTCAATAATTTTTTACAGCATAGTGATCTTAATATTTGAAGATTCATTCTTTTTCTCAGCTTTCATTTCCCTTATAATAATTTTTCCTCAAGCTCAATATCATTAATACTCTCAATAAATGTGCAAGTAACTTAAGTTCCAAATTTCTGATAATTTTGCTTATTTCACTTTAACAAGTTTTTCCCAAACCAGTTTAAAGTATGGAACAAACGCTAAGCACAATTATTGAAACATGATATAATGTGGCTATACTGCTGCATGAAATTTAATTATTTCTCCTCTGCTCTCATATCATACTCCATGAATCATGATAATAAGCTTATAGTTTTCTGACATCTAAATATTTTACATGATATATTATCAAGTCCAATCCATTAACTATTTCTATAATTGACATTCTGAACCTAGCCTTAAATTTTTTATATTAATGCCCATCAAATGCTCCATTTTTTCAATTTTATTATTGAACATATTGACCTCACTCTTATCTCCTGTCTTTCACTGATTCGTTCATTCATTCACTTATGCCTTACTATACATTGGATAGATGATGAGAATGTAGGTGTCTACAAAATACATGCCCTGCTCTTGAGGAAGTTAGAATTCAGTACAGGAAACATATATGAACGGTTAATTACATGTGACATGATAGGCTGCATGTAAAGCTGACTACAAACACTATGGAAATCTGAGTTTGGAGTGACTAACTTAGCCCTGTTGGCCAGAGTCCTCCCACATTAACTGTTAATGGAAGTTTCACAAAGTAGCCGAGAAGACTTGGGCAAAGGGCACGCATTCTGTATATATGAGAGCGCGCTATTTGCAATGCCCTAAGCAGTTCACTGTGGTTGAGACTCCTAGTGGACAGAGATAATAAATGAAACTGGTAAGGCCAGATTATGAAAACGCTTGAGGACTGTGAACATTATTTTGCAAGAAATAGAAACCCATAAAAAATTTCTTAACAGGAGAGCAGCATGATCAGATTTGTATTCAGTGTGGAGGATCAGTAAGAGATCAAAGGCTGGAAGGCTAGCTAAGAGAACATTGACATACCTTGAGTCTAGCTTTTCTTAACACTGAATATATATTAATGGAACAAAAGCTGTTAGTTATTTTGTTACTTTTCAGTTCCAGAGAGGAAGGAACATCACGTCTGGGAAGAATAAGAGCATAAAAGAGACTTTAATAAAAAATAAAATACCGAGCACAATTTGAGAATCACAGGTTGATATAATGCATTCTCACCTCTGGTATTCACACAAGTAAATATTTATACACAAACTCATAATTTATTTCAAATTAAGTGGAAAATAACTTCTACTGATCATTTTCCATCATTGTTGAGAACTAAGGTTTCTTTACTTCTGCATTTTAATTATTCACTTGCGGGGGAGAAAGACCTATGCATTTTATTTAGTTAAATCTAGTAAATACATTTTGCAGTTTCACATAATCCATAATTATTTTTGATGGTAGAAGTCGTAGTTTTTGATCTTTGAGAAAGGATTCGTGGATTTACCTGCATGTCGGATTTAATAAGATATAAATAGGCTTTGTGCTCATATTTAAAAGAATAAGTTTAGTAAATAAGCAAAAGAAAATTTGTTGTTATTGTTGTTATTGTTAGGTGCTGTCGAGTCAGTTCTGACTCATGGAGACCCCATGTACAACAAAACGAAGTACTGCCCGGTCCTGTACCATCCTCACGACCGTTGTTATGCTTGAGCCCATTCTTGCAGCTACTGTGTCAATCCATCTCATTGAGGGTCTTCCTCTTTTTCTCTGACCCTCTACTTTACCAAGCATGATGTCCTTCTCCAGGGACTGGTCTCTCCTGATAACATGTCCAAAGTATGTGAGACGAAGTCTTGCCATCCTTGCTTCTAAGGAGCATTCTGGCTGTACTTCTTCCAAGACAGAAAAAAATTTGTGAAGATAAAAATACGTGAGTAGAAAAAATGTAGGAAGATAAAATAAACATTCCCATAATTTCTTATGGCAACAACTTGAGACTTAGACAGAGTGTCCATAAGAAAATCAGAAAAAAATTGCAAGAAATTTTAGCATATGCCAGATGCAAGACGTTTTGAGTCTACTTTTCTGGAGTGTGGTTATTACCTATGAAGTAGAAAGTATTGTGCATAGAAACTTAAGTTCTTTGATACCTTTTAGAAGCTGATCTGCAAAATAAAGCCTAATTATTTTATGCAACAGGAAAAGTTGAAGATGCACCAACTTTGATGTACCAACTTTTATTGTCAAATAAAATATCCTTTAAAGTATGGCAGTTTTATTAAAAAAACCACTTACATACATGTGGCCTCTATTTAAAATGTATATTTGAATCTTCTCTGCTGCTTCTCAATGCCCTAACTGATATTTATGTAGACATAATAGGTTTAAAGTTTCTCCCTAATGCTCATAAAATTCCTATTCAATTGCTTATCATTCTTATCATTCTGGAGGTGTAACAGAGTTATATTTGCTTTGAAATACATCAGGACAAAATTTATGTTGCAATTCGATAAATCAAAGGAAATGATAATCCTACCAATCAGAAATTACCCACAAAGTCATCAGTTACCTAGTGTGGAAACTAAGTGATAAACAAATATTCATTGAGGAAATTTACAATAGTCTTCATGGGAAAGTTCTTTCTTTTGGTCACACTGAACTATCATACAATTTAAAGGAAAAGGTGCAAATCACCCTGCTTTGGACATGGCCAGCCATTGTATTTAATTTTTAATGCTCAAATCTCTTAGTTTGAAAAATAGGTACTCTATTCAATCCCGTAACTTTACCTATGCCATTCTTTACAATAGGAATGTTCTATATATTGTCCTACTGTTCTTTTGCATACCAAGTGACATAGAGGTGTGTGATGTAGATAAGGATTATTCACTTGATTTTGCTAATAATTCACAAGAGATATATGGAAATTTATGGTATGTTTTTTGTCATTATAAAGATTTTAGTCATCTGCAAGTTATTTAAGCTCACTATGCCTTATATATTTAATGCATAAATGAGCACAGCAATATCTGTCTTATAGAATTTTGGAATGGGACTTAATGTATTTTATAGAGCTTGGCACATTGCAAGCACTCAACAAATGGGAATGACAATGTTTATCTGGTAACAGCAATGAGAGTAAAGATTTAACTTCTCTAAAGTTCCTTTAATATGTTTCTGAACATATATTGTATACGTAAGCCTCACTGAAAATTTCTGACTATACAACTGTATAATTTCAACAGATACTGGTAAATTGATTTATTACAAGATGCTGTTAAACATTGAATAAGATATCAAATTTCCAATCCTGACTCCATCAATAATAAGCTGAAGAGATGAACAAGTCTAGGTGATGAGTCGGAATTGACTCGATGGCAACGGGTTCGGTTTTATATAAAATATCTTCAAATTGAATCTCTGAATTCCTTTGAAAATATTTTGAGAGGAAATAGATTAAAGGCACCAAATAAACAGGCAAATGACTTTGTATAAAAACAATAAATACATATGTACTCTTGGAATTAGGGGAAAATAGAGGTCAAGTTTAGGGTTTGGAGATTAGGCAGGCCACAGTGAAAATTACAAATTAAGAAAGATACGTAATATTATTTTTAATACAGACATTGAAGGGTCCGTGACACATTGCACCCTTCTTGTTACTTTACTCATAATCTTATTAATCTTATTAAAGTTACTCACTTCATTGAGAAAACTTCTACCTTTTTAGCCATGTGTTTAAAAGCATCTTTTACTTGTTTGTTTCTCAATGTATAAATGAAAGGATTTAACATTGGTGCAACAGAAGTACTGAGCAGAGCTATCCCTTTATTTAAAGACACCCTTTCCTTTGCAGAGGGTTTCACATACATGAAGATGCAGCTGCCATAAGAAATGGAGACAACAACCATGTGAGAAGAACAAGTAGAAAACGCCTTCTTCCTCTGTTGTGAAGACGGTATTTTCAAAACAGTCCTGATGATGTTTGCGTAGGAGAGAACCACTAACACCAGTGTAACCAGGAGAGTCAAAATGGCTGAGAGAAGTGTCATTAATTCTATTATATATATGTCTGTGCAAGAGAGCTCTAATATAGGAGAAACATCACAGAAGAAATGATCTACAGTGTTGGCTGCACAGAAATCAAGCTGAAGACCCATAAGAAGAGGTGGAAAAATTATTAGGATACCAGCCAACCATGAAGCAAAGATCAGCACGTGGCAGATTCTGCCGCTCATGATAGTCATGTAATGGAGGGGTTTGCAGATGGCCACATAGCGGTCATAGGACATTGCGGCCAGGAGGAAAAATTCTGTTGCCCCCAAAAGAATAGTAAAAAACAGCTGTGCTGCACAATTGTTGTAAGAAATAGTCTTATCCCCTGTGGCCATGCTAATAAGAAATTTGGGAATGCAGACGGTTGTAAAGGATATTTCTAAAACTGAGAAATTTCGGAGAAAGAAGTACATGGGTGTCTTGAGATGAGAATCCAGTAAGGTGAGAGCGATGATGGTTAGATTCCCAGTGATACTCAACATATAGGTGAAAAAAAGAAGAAGAAAAATGACCACCTGTAACTGTGGATCATCTGTCAGTCCAAGAAGAATAAAGGTTGTCACAGTTGTGTGGTTTCTCATAGCTGACTGCCATTTAAAGACAGAAATAAAAAGAATAAGAAAAACTCAGAACTAAAGCATAGAGAGCTGCATAAATTACCTACTTTTTTAATATTCCCCATACACACGTTGCTATCCATATGCAACCTCCCCCAATATTTTGCTACTCAACAGTAGCAGCCTAAAAAAATTGCCCACAAAATATTTACTCAAAATTTAACTAACCAGATACAACACTATGAGGTCATTTCCCCCTCTATTTTTATAAATCCAGGCATTCCAAGGGGAAAAAAATAATGCATTGATAAAGTCATATATAAGTAATTTTTTTTTTTTTTTGTCTGGGAGTTATTTCTTTAAGAAACTGAAACAAAATAACAACATCAATAAACATACTATTTTACTTCTCTCTTCTATGTCTTCAATGATTATTTCTAATCTATTTACTTTATATTAAATTATTTTACACTATTGATGACTCCATTTTGCTAAATAAATATCTTTGTGCTTATTATTCTTTCTGATAGATTTTGCTCTTCTGTAAATCAGATGTCAGCTGAGGATTCTCTGCCTCTTGAAATTTGAATAAAGTTGACTTAAGCATATATATAGTGGGAAATCAATACCCTCACCAAACTTCTGCAAATTCTTCAGGAATTATATTGTCATGTCCACTTTTTCTTGCCAAGATTATTTTGCTTCTTAATTCCATTAAAATGTTTGCCAGGTGAAGGTAAAATTAAAATACGTTTTCAACCAATGTTATAGTCCCAGAGGCCTCTGTTGCTGTCATGGCAATAATGTTTGCTCTGCAAAAAAAATTACCTTCGTGATATACTATTTCAATGGTTTACAAAGGAACCAGTTTCTTCTTCCAGCTTAATTTAATAAAGTTAACATTATTAAAATAAAAACACAGAATTTCCCAAATCTTTGTCTTTAGTAATGATTTAATTCCCCACTGTCTACTTTTGATGTGAGTCCCAGAACAGAGGCAATCTCTGACTGTCACATTTCCATCAGATTTTTCACTGGGCTTTAAACCATACTTTTATCTTGTACTCTCATCCAAAAATACATTAGCACCAGCAACAACTCAGGATATGTAAGCTGAAAAAGTAGTATCGTACAAAACCCTGATCTTACCTAGTTTAATTTCTTCTTTTGAATTAAAAAAAAAAAAAAAATGAAGCAGTACTCTCCAAATTGTTATAACTGGAGCATATTTTCCTGGTTACACATAAAGTAACTGTATTTCTCTTTCAAAAGTTAGAAATAAAGAAAAAAGAGAAAAGATTTCAGACTCGTTTTTTTCTTTGAAATGTTTCTGACCTATATGAGAAGCACAAAAAGTTGCTTTTTAGTGTTTAAGATTATAAGACCTCCAATCCTTTTTGTACACTGTGCTCACTTGTCTCAAGGGAATTCACTGACTTAAAAACTAAAAAAAAAAAAAAAAAGAAGAAGAATAAAACATTTTCTCAGAGGACCATCATACAAGGATATTAAAAGCATATGAAAAAGTATTTTATCAATTGGAGAAACCGTCATAATCCTTAAACTCAGATTAAAAAAAAATTCTCTTTGAAGCAGCCATGTGTTGTGAATGTTCAAGGGGTTTTAAGGAAACATAAGTAAGCTGATATTTCTATGACAAATTACATTTAGATCATGAAAAGTAAAACACAATAGTCTGTAGTGTGGAAAAATTTAAGGGGATTATTAAATATTTGAACTCATGTTGATCAAGTAAATGGCTCACATTGTATCCATGTAGATTAAACCTCTATGGGCCATCTTGTTAAGTGTCAGACTTAGAATCTTAATCTTTAGGATTTAGAAAGATCTGCCATCATTGACAAAGAAAATATTAAATGTGGTGACATTACTAGTTAAGGATCATAGACATCTGGACTGAAGTGAAGTAAGGCCGTTATTGTGTTTTTCATGTTAGACATATGAGTCAAGTACATTTGCACCCACATTCTAAACCTTGATTTGGAAGCTATAAGAAAATTTTGTTGATTCTACATGGAAACTATATTTCAAATTAATTTAACTTTCTACATTTCCACTGCTGCGTAGTTAAACTAAGAGTAGGTGTTATAAAAGATAATCTTTAAAATAATTGTGGCAAATACAATTTTAAAAACATTTTAATAAAGTATACAATACTTAAGTAGTCCTGGTGGTGCAGTGGTTAATTCTTGCTGCTGACCGAAAGGTAGGCAGTTTGAACCCACCAGGTGCTCTGTCGGAGTAAAGCCCTGGCAATCTACTCCCATAAAGATTATAGCCTAGGAAAGCCAATGGGGCAGTTCTACTATGTCCTATAGGGTCACTATGAGTCAGAATGGGCTTGACAGCACAAAACAACAGCGAAGTACAAAACATGCAGAAAACACAATTGATATAAGGACATGGCTGAGCCAATTTTCACAAACTAACACACTCCTGCAAGCAACACTTAGATAAAGAAACCGAAAGTTACCAGTACCACAGAATTCCCCCTTGGATTCCCTTTTGATCATTACTCCTTCAAAGTTTAACTACTATCCTTACTTCCAGAATTGATTAGTTTTGCCACTTTTTTTTTTTTAATGTAGCTTAAAATAAGAGAAATTTATTCTCTCACAGTTCTAGGGACTAAAAGTACAGATTCGGGGTGTGGGCAGGACCATGCTGTCTCTGAGGGCTGTAGTGGAACGTCTTTCCTTGTCTTTTCCATCTTCTGGTAGCCTCGTGCTCCTTGGTTTGTGGCAGCATAACTCCAATCTCTGCCTCCTTCACACAGCCATCTTCTCTCTGTGTGTGTCCATGTCTGCATCTCTTCTCTTTTTGTAAGAACACCTCGTGTGAATTTGACTAATTACATCTGCATAGAACCTCATTCCAAACAAGGTCGCATTCACAGGTGCCGGGGCTTAGGACTTCAACATATCTTTTTTGGGGGAGAAACAGTTTAACCCACAGGATAACACAACCCCAAACCTTCTCCTCTGAGTTTTTCCACATTGAAAATTCTTCTCTGTTCATTCTTTGGTGGAGACTGATAAGAGTGAGTCTTTTGTTGCCTCTTGAGAGTTTTCAGTAGTATTTTTAATTTTGATGAAATGAAGAAAAGAAAAGAAAAATATTGGACCTGACAGTTTGTAGGAAGATAAAATTTTAATCTTAAATAAGCTGACCATATCTCTTTAAAGTGTAAATAATACCTGTGCAATTTTTTTTTAAGATTTTTTTTTTTTATTGTACTTCAGGTGAAGGTTTACAGAACAAATAGATTCTCATGAAACAGTAGTACACATATTGTTTTATGACATTGGTTAACAACCCCACGACATGTCAACCCTCTCCCTTCTCGACCTTTTTTTTTTTTGGTGAAAATGTACATAGCCAAAGATACACCATTTCAAAAATTTCTACATGCCCAGTTCAGTGACATCGACTACGCTCTTCCAATTGTGCTGCTATTCTCACTTAGATGAAGGCTTACAGAACAAAATAGTTTCTCATTTAACAGTACACATGTGGTCTAATTCTGAAACAATTGGTCACTGAAAACCTTTTGAATAGCAGTGGAACATGGTTTTCTATAGTGCCAGAAGATGAGCCCCTCAGGTTGGAAGGCACTCAAAATATGACTGGGGAAGAGCTGCCTCCTCAAAATAGAGTCAACCTTAATAACATGGATGAAGTCAAGCTTTCGGAACCCTCATTTTTTGATGTGGCATGACTCAAAATGAGAAGAAACAGCTGCAAATATCCATTAATAATCAGAATGTGGAATGTATGAAGTATGAATCTAGGAAAATTGGAAGTTATCAAAAATGAAATGGAATGCATAAACATTGATATCCTAGGTATTAGTGAGCTGAAGTGGACTGATATTGGCCATTTTGAATCAGAAAAACATATAGTCTACTATGCTGGGAATGAGAAATTGAAGACAAATAACATAATATTCATCATCAAAAGAACATGTCAAGATCTATCGTGAAGTACAACTCTGTTAGAGATAGGATAATATCCATACACCTGCAAGGAAGACCAGTTAATATGACCATTACTCAAATTTATGCACCAACCACTAAGGCCAAAGATGAAGAAATTGAAGATTTTTACCAACTTCTGCAGTCTGAAATTGATCAAACTTCCAATCAAGATGCATTAATAATTTATGATGATTGTAATACAAAAGTTAGAAACAAAGAAGAAGGATTAGTAGTTGGAATACATGACCTTGGTGATAGAAACGGCTCTAGAGATCGCATGACAGAATTTTGCAAGATCAATGACTTCTCCATTGCAAATACCTTTTCTCAACAACATTAACAATGACTATATACATGGACTTAGCCAGACAGAATACACACGAATCAAATAGACTATGTCTGTGGAAAGAGATGATAGAAAAGCTCAATATAATCAGTCAAAATACGGCCAGAGGCCAACTGTGGAACATACCATCAATTGCTCATACACAAGTTGAAGCTGAAGTTGAAGAAAATTAGAACAAGTCCACAATAGCCAAAGTACGATCTTGAGTATATCTCGCCTGAATATACAGACTATATAAAAAATAGATTTGATGCATTGAACATGAATTACAGAAGACCAGAAGAGTTGTGGAATGACATCAAGGACATCATACATGAAGAAAGCAAGAGGTCATTAAAAATACAGGAAAGAAAGAAAAGACCAAAATAAATATCAGAAGAGACTTTCAAAGTTGCTCTTGAACGTAGAGTAGCTAAAGCAAATGGAAAAAACGATGAAGTAAAAGAGCTGAACATAAGCTTTCAAAGGGAGGCTTGAGAAGACAAAGAAGAGTATCATAATGAAATGTGCAAAGACCTGGAGTTAGAAAACCAAAAGGGAAGAACACTCTCAGTATTTCTCAACCTGAAAGAAATGAAGAAAAAATTCAAGCCTCGAGTTGCAATTTTGAAGGAGTCTATGGGGAAAATATTAAATGACACAGGAAGTATCAAAAGAAGATTGAAGGAATACACAGAGTCACTGTGTCAAAAAGAATTGGTCAATGTTCAAGAATTTCAGGAGGTAGCATATGATCAAGAACCAATGGTATTGAAAGAAGTCCAAGCTGCACTG